TTTATTTCATCAGTCATTGCAAAGGTATGCTGGAGCTTCGAAACTCCATGTCTTCAACAAGCAAAGACATCCCCTGGGGAGCATACTGTATGCATGGCTGACATTAGAGTGAAAAAAATTTCTAAGTTTTTTGGAGGGAAAATCTAATCAGATTAATTAAGTGCTTAGAGCAGCTGCTGCAAGGTCAAAAGTGTGTGGCTAAGTGTTCAGAAAAGTTGAGGGGAAAAGTTGAGGGTAAAAGTCCAAAGCATCAGAAGAGGAGCACAGTTAAGTGTGACGTACCGTGCAATTACAAGCAGTGCATGTTTAAGACAAGGAAAAGAGTGTGTGAAAAGGTCCAAAGCATTGGAAGAGGAGTGTAATGTACCATGCAATTAAGGGGAATGCCAGATTGAACCAAGCAGAGTCACAGGATGAAATACTAAGGCAAAGAAAAGTTGAGTGGAAACGTCCAAAGAAGGGTGATATACCATGCAATTAAAAGCAGTGCCAGATGGAGTTAGTAACTGAGCTTAAGAAAAAAAGTTGAAAGAATGAAGTGGGTGTTAAAGGTTAGAAATGTGGGCAAGTGTGTGTACTTGGGAGTGTTGGAAATGTGTTGTTACACAAGTAAACTATACTCACAACCCCAGGGCTGCTGGTGTCTTCTCTCACTGCTTTGCTGGCCTAGTCTGGAAGTCTGGAACCTCCCATATAGAGAATCCACCATCAGTCATGTGTCACAAACAAAAACAAAAAGTCAGTATAGCAGCAAGATTATGCACATTTCAAAACTCATACTGCACACAACAGCAGCTTTAAACTCTCTTCCACTGGAGAAATCTTACGCATCATGCAATTAGCCAAACTTTCTTTCGTTCAAAGAAAGTATATTAAGTGACCTATTTTAGAATACAGTGCACGTCACTTAACATGCAGTTTCAATGACTGTGCACTGTCGCCTTCATCAGGGTAATTAATGACTAATAACTTTCAAAGGTAAATTTGCAAGAGTTACGGATAGAGACACGTGACCTCGTACATTCACAGAACATTTTACGGACATGTGATGACAGCCACTGATCAAACGTGCCAGCGAGCTTACGTTGGGAAGTGATTGGTCATGAATTATCCTGATGAAGGCGACAGTGGTCATTGAACATTTTATCTTGTCAATAAAGTTTAACATTGTTTCAGTACTTTGATTCAGTTTCAACACAGATCAACTTCCATGATAAATTTGAGGATCATAAAGAATTGACTTTTACGAGACAATCACATCCTACAAAAACTATTTTTACTACGAAAATTCCTGTACAAACAAGTCAAACCTAAGAAGTGAAAACTAAAGCAAGCTGAAGCTTACAATTTCATTTCATTTTGTAATGCCGAGTCTGCAAATGATGCATCAATCTGTGACTGATGCTGCTGAACCCCATACCTACATCAATTTGTCTAGCTGAAGACACTTTCAGATGGCTCAGGAAAAGAAATACAAATAATGATATATGGTGAAATACTTACTTTTGGAGAGTCTTCATTGCCCTCTATGTCTTCAAGTCATCTGGTTTGCTGAGACGTTGTCACAGTTTCTCCCAGTTGGGACAGCGGACCTCCAGGACACACCTAATGATATGAAAGGACAATTAGTGTGATGAAAAAACATCCCCAGGCACTACTCAGTGACCATAAGAAATTATAACATCACGCAATTCAACTAGTGGTATCCCAACTTGCTTGAATACATGGAAAAGGAGTTAGGCTCCAGAAGATTGGTTTTAAAATTGTTTTGCCTCAGTTCTTAATACAACTGAGAGGTAAAACTCATGTACGTCGTAAAGAATTGTCTCACCTGTACAAACTTTTCACTAGTTAATGTGATATTTCAAAACATCTCCAGACTACACAGAGTGACCATAAAAGATGATTTCTAAGCAATTGTGGAAAAAGAAAGTTGTAAAGCATTGTCTCACCTGTACAAACTCTTCACTTGACTTGTGTCCAACTTCAAGTCAACTGGTTTGCTGAGCTGTCATCGTCCCATCTGGTTTGGACAGTAACATAACGACCGCTGACCCTCAGGATACACCTAGATATAGATAAAGAACAATTGATGCATGACAAGAATGGACAACTAGTAACCAGGTAAAACTGATAAACTTTTACATATGACCATCTTACTTTGCCTTTTCCTAGAAATGTTGACCTGTGCTTAAACAGTGCTGGGGTCAAAAGAATCTAATAAAGCATTTTTCACCTATGGATGATGCTGTTGTTGTCTTGCTCTTGTGTGTCCAAATCCACTGGTCTTCTCCAAGACAGTCTTGTCAGGTTTAGACAGGAGTCATCACTACTGCATCAGTCAGCAGTCATCTAACTATGCAGACATTACAAGTTACACACTTGTCTCAAAGAACATGAAGTAAATAGTAGGTAAAATGCACAACTCAGATTTTTCTCACCTGATATTCATCTAGAGTCTTCCAATCTTCTCTTGCCAAGTTCAGACAGGAGTCCCCACTACTGCATCAGTCAGCAGCCACATAACTATCATATGTAACAGAAATTAGAAGTTACAAACTTGTCTCAGCATCAAGTAAATAAGAGGTAAAATGAAGAATTAAAAGTTTCTCATCTGTATTCATCTAGAGTCTTCAAGTCTGGTTCAATCTTCTCTTAGATGGAACTCATCACTATTGCCACTATCAGTCAGCAGCCACCTAATTATACAGACATAAAAAGTTACACAGCGTCTCAAATAACACCAGGTAAAAGGTAGGTAAAATGCAGACTTGGGATTTTTCTCACTAGGTGATATTCCTTAAACCTGGTCCAATCCTGGTCTGGTCTGGTCCAATCCTTGTCAGGTTCAGACAGAATCATCACTACTGCATCAGTCGGCAGCCACCTAACTATACAGACATAAGGAATTACATGGTGTCTTAAATAACACCAAGTAAATGGTAGGTAGAATGCAGACTTGGAATTTTTCTCACCTGATATTCCTTAAACCTGGTCTGGTCCAATCCCTGTCAGGCTCAGACAGGAGTCCCCACAACTGCATCAGTCAGCATACACCTAACTATACAGACATTAGAAATTATACACCTGTGTCAGATCACACCAGATATCTGTAGGTAATAAAATGCAGAATTTAGATTTTTCTCACCTGGTGACTCCTGTCGTAACAAGTCAGGTCCGTACCAAACACCCTCACCCTCAGAACACAGCTAAGTCAGACAGGATTCTACGAAAAAATAGTTACAAAGTGTTATCAACCTGTATTATACATTGCAAAAACTGTACCTAAAGGCAGTGTAAAACAGGGATAGAAACAACAATAAAAAAAATCAAACCCCTTCAACTGAAACTACATGTGAAATGCATGTACACTTTTGTAAACTCGTGCAAAATTTGGAAAACAGCAATTGTGACATCCAAGCGTTGAGTGTAGTGTTAACTACTGAACCAGTCTAAAATAGAAAGGCTTTTAAATGATGCATGTACAGACGAATGGAAGATCGACTGGACTGAACTTTTTGTGCCATGTTTATTTCGAGCGCCTTGAAGATTTGAGAACCCAGTCTTGTTTACACGAGTTTTGGTGGGAAAAATATTTAATTTATGCACGTGCACATTCCAACAGATGTTTTAACCACGTGGACACGAAGAAAAGTAGATTTTTCTACAAGTAAAATAACCTCAAAACGTTGAACAACCGACAAAAAAGACACACACATACAGTTAATACTCTACAGGAATGCCGCACATGAAAAATGCTAAACAAAACGCTGCGAAATAATGGGACTTTTTTCAAAGCCCGTTTTAATGTTAGGAACGGTTGCTTGGAATTTACAGAACTAAGCCATTTCGTACAAAATGTAAGTTGACATGTTATTACTAGTTGAAAGGGAATAATATCAAACCAAATTATCAAGTTTGTTGGTTTACCTGCAACAATAAGTGAAGTCGTCTCCATGCCACGCCACTCTGTCTCGCCATTTTGTCTTGTCCAAAATTCACCAGGTCAGGAAATCCGCATTTTCTCTTCAAAACATCTCCAGAATGGCACAAATCCACAGCAAAAACTCCTCCAACGTTCTGCGGTACACTTAAGGAAAATTACACCGACAAAAAATCGAGAAAGTACCCGAAAAGTTGAAAAAATGACCCTGCTACAATATTCCTATCGCACGAAAGCGCCATTTTGAATGGACTTAACCAAACGTGTTTTTACACAGGTGTGTTTCACATGTAGGGTGGCCCTGGCTAATTAATGTGAAACCGGTAATCTAATTACGAATGGATGAAAATGCAGCTACAGGGTGACTTGAGTATTCTTCTTATTGACAAATAAACGTTTTCACGAATAACATGCGACCACACGATGAAATACAACACATCAATTTCTTTATAACTCGCAGGGACAACTTCCACACACGGGCAAACATGCCTGTCCTTGGTGCTGAACACCATCCACACACAGGAAAACAAAAACTAGAACACTTTCCCTGGTACAAAATAAAACAAAACATAAGCAAAAGCTCCAATCGTTCCACATTTATTTCCTATGCCTTTCAGAAAATGAACAATTAACGATCAGAATGGTGGTGATGGGAACAATTTGCTGCAGTTTATCAAACAACCGCAAGAGGCACTTGTGAACACACTATGACTCCAGTAGGCATCCTTACCATGCGCCTCAGCCCCCTTTGACCGTAGATGCTTCAGATTCCCCCTTCTTTTCGTGTTGTATTTTGATACGGAAAAACATATTTGATACGGGAAGACATATCAAAGTTCGGACTCCCAAATCACCAAGATGACTAGACGGAATTTTTCTTTTCCTCGTAATGGAATTTTCTCTTAACGATCCACCCCTTCTTGTATAACTTTTGTTGTCTTCCAGCTCATTTGTATACTTTAATATGGTAATATGGCATTTAACATTAGGCATCTCACCTTAAGATTTTTGCAATATAAAAAGGAAAAAGGCAATAATGAATGATTGCATGCAGTTTGTGACACTTTAATGTCTCATTGTGGGAAATTTGCTTGCAGCCTTTATCATAGTTTTTTTTTAAATTTAATACGACCCAAAAGTTGATGTAACTACTGGTAGCATGTTTCAATGGTGTACATGTATCTTATGCACATAATAACAATGAGATAGCATAATTCCTGCTGTGGTCGAGTTGTGCTAGATTTATCTTGGAGGTATGAAAATCTTGTTACAGTGAGATATCTTAAATTTGTTTAGCCTTGGCCTTGCATGTATTAAACAATTCTTCCACCCATGGAAACACAGCCTTAATATTGCTTATTGCCATGGGTGGGAGCTCTGCCTGGGAGAATGTAATGAATAAGACAGGTTGAAATAAAATCACAATCATATGTTGTTTTTATTTTTCATTCATTATGTATCTTCATCAGACACAAACACATTGTACATGTACAAAATGTATTTGTCTATCACTTAAGTGGTAGTCCATTCTGATGCCATCATAACAGCACTGCTTTCACTGATACATGTATCTACGAGTCCTGCGATACAACAAAATGCCAGCACTGTTCTACACTCATACAAATGTACAATAGTAATGCCAACAGCTATGCCAGGAAAAAGAAAAATACTTTCTCAATCCAATGAGGTACATTTGTACTAGTACAAAAGTGCAGATTGGCTATCTTTGAGTTTCCACTTAATTTGCTATGAACTACCAGTGTAAGAAACAGTTCTTTAGTTTAACATTCTCCAGAATCTTCAGTTGAGGTTTGGTGCCACCTCTATGCTATTGATCCTCAGTACTGTACATGGCTGCGAGTGATCTGAAACCAGAAATGTTCGTGTTGTAAAATTCAAATTGTTGTGTAAGAAGCATGAAATATGATGTCTCCAAAAGTTCAAATCTTGAATTTTTGGCTACACAGATTGATGTAGGTTTATGATAATGTTTTCTAAATAATCTTATGAACTGCATAAATATAATATTCCTAAAGAGGTATTTAGTGCACATCTGTACTGGTGCTTACCTCTCCTCTTCCTGTAGCCTTTCCGTTTTTTGAACTTGTACACCACAACTGGAAGAGCCATGAACTTCTCGATGACCGTGGCTTCTATCCGAACCTGGTCACGACTGTAAAAACAAACGAAAGAATGTTCGCAAAAGATCATTTTTAATTCTCGTAATATCATGACAGATAGAAATGAGAAAGAGCAAATTTGCATCAGAACAGAACAGAACAGAACAGAATAACACTTGATGCTGACCTCAATATCGGTTTTCCAATCAATGTGAAGTTGTTACCACCAACAAGTAATACCTGTATGGAAAATTTCAGAGGGTTAGGTAATGGTATCAATTTGGAAGATATATATAGAATATAGATATAAGATTCAAGTTGTGCTTTGGAATGACAATATATTGTCAATGTCAACCTGATGTTAGGTAGGGGTTAAATTCCAGCCCAGATGAAGTACAATATAAAAAATATAGGAACAACTTCCAAACAATTCAAGGTTCTCTTTATATAATGTCCTAAAATGTGACTATCGCATCGCCTTAGGGTTAAAACTGATGTGTGCACAAGTGTAAACTTAGACAATGTCTGTACCTTCTCTAGCCTAATTCTCTCTCCTGGATCTGCGAACATCTCCTGCTGTATCAACACCAGGTCCTCCGTCGTGACCTTGAACTGTTTCCCTGCGACCTGCACCACAGCGAACAGTCTGCCCACATCAGGGGATACCATCTCTTCTTTCACCTTCTCCAGAACAGCTGTGGAAAATGAAACATAAAAACCCTTGCAGTACATACATGTCTCAGGTTCTGTATATGAGCAATCATTGTCCTGAGTTTAAAGAGACTCTTTTTACACAAACAAATTCAGCGAACGTTTCTGTGACCGTCTGTCCTCAGGGCAATTTAATCAGTGTCTTACCAACATGATGAAACTATTCACAAATAATTGTCCTGCTTGAATGAGATTTATGATTGTGGAGTAGATGCTATGATTACTAGTAAGCTAAGGCTATCTATAAAAGCAAGTTACAAAGGCTAACAGAGGATTGCTCATTTAGTACTAGTTCTTCTCCATGAAACACTTGACATGAATCTTACCAGGATGCTCCTCTATTGATGTGGGATCTAAGTCTGGTGGGTTCCATCTGTCTATGCCCAACGATTTATACCTGTTTTGGTAAAATTAACAGGTGTTGAGACATTTAATAACAGTTAAAAATATAAAACATGACATTCGTGCACACTTACTTATTGAATGGTTTTGGGCAGTGATAGTAGATATGATACTTCAAGACTAGCTACTGGCAACAGTAGAAGTAATGGCTCAAGTCCAAGTTTTCCAAACATTCATGCGAAGTTCACTAAAAATGTTTCCAATTTTGTCAATTGATCACAGTTGATCAATTGATATAAAAAAATCCAAACATCTGAGGCAGTTGTTGTGAATAGAATTTCAATTATCAAACAAACACACCATACAAAAGAGTATGACACTTATGTAATTAGATGTCTCAGGAGTATATAGAGCACACTGACAAATAAAGTGAGAATTAACATGAAATTCACCTAGTAAAACATAGAACTTTATTCCAGCACAAGGGTTACAGAGCGATCAAAATCACCTGTATTTCAGAAGGTTTTCGGGTGTGTCCTGTAGTCTGCAGGTGGAGGTGTGTAACCTGTGGCAGCAGGTGTGGCTCTGAGATCCTACAGCTGCAGCTGGTAACAAGTTTCTAGCACCTGTCAGTTGTGAAGAGTTAAATGATCATGAGGAAATTCTACAGTAACAAATTCTATTGTCGGAAAGACTTCAAAGAGTATAGTCCAGATTTCTATGAATTTGACTCACATTTTCATTTCATTTAAGGCAGACAATGAAAATCAATTCGCAATTCTACCTACATATTCTTATGAATCGGTTTAATATTTATGACTAAGTCTAAAGAACTGTATACACGTAGTTATACCCCTACCAATGCCCCTACTACTCGGTACAACTTGGGGAGGGGGGCGCACAAAGACCACCCTTATCCTGACCCCACAGCCATTGATCAAGGAGCACATTTCTGTTTGGCAATGCACTAGTATCTAAGAAGTACTCTAGGAAAGGTAGATCACCTGACAGCTCCCTGGGTTTCATGATAACGGAGGAATCCAGCAGGAATTTTGTAGCCCAACAAATTCGTGACCTCATGGACGCCACCATGTTGGAGTGATGCAAATCTCGCGTGACTCAACGAGAGATTGGAGAACTCCCCCGCAGAGCCCCGCAGAGGCTTCGTAGAGGTGACGTGCGAAGGAAGCGACGAAGCAGGTGGTTGCATCAAGGAGGTTAAAAAAACTCATTGGTTACATCAACCACAGTTCAGATGCTAGCAACTTTTGTTTAACGTTAGTCGATAAAATGATTGCATAAATTGATATCGATACTGACGCTGACATCTGTTATTTGCTGAAAAGTGCAACATGTAAAGATCCCCTCGGCCCTGTATATCTGGTAGCGCACACATTCCATCTCATGTTACTGTACAAAAATAAATAAAGCTCATTTTATTTCAAAGACGCAGAACTCTAGCCGATTGGGCTAAGTGAAGTTTACTAGAGTCCGGCAAGGCTTTGACAGCCTAGCCTGTTTCACAAGTCATCATCATACTATACATACATTTCGGCTATGTTGAAATTCATTGACCAAATTTACAGGCAAATGACATCTTCAAATGACATCTTCTGATCAAGAGCCTATCGCAAGTGTTTGAATCTGATCCAAGGCTATCGGTACTTGTTTGCCCCAAGCGGCTTCGTCCTTGATGTTGTTGCTGTGCGTGGCTATATTTTTTTATATGATAGTGATAATCTGGCCATTGGACTTTGCTGTTGATATAACCACGTGCAGTAATAAGCACATTTGTTCACTTCATACAGCCAAACATGCCTAATAGATTGTGATTGACGCTTGTTGTTGTTGTCTCTATTTCTCCGCCCTCACGCCGGATGCTGATCTGCTACTTCCTCATGAGAAAACGTTATGAGGAACGTTAGATTTAGGGTGATCGGAGAAGTACGTGACATTGGGCACGTATACCAAATCCGATTGCGTCCAATATAATAATTATGACGCATTTTATGTAAAACACGATCCGGGTGAAGTCCAAACAAGACTACTATAATAGTAAATCCAACATAAACCCTCCATCTGGGTTCAACAAACAAGTAGAAAAATGTGACAAAGGTCAGCACAAGATCAAATCACTCTATCTACTAGTATGTTCTGATTGACTACCATTTGTTTCTTAATTAACTAAATAGCGTAACTTTAACTGGTCAATGACACCTGGACTTACAGACTGTGGCTAATAACGTGGAAGAAAATTTTGACTAGATAGATCTATCAGGGAGAATTTCTGTTTCTTCACTGTATATACCAATATCGCTTCATACCTTGCCAACTATTTTTAATCACCAATTGCTTCATGTCTTGCCAACCACCCCACCGTGTGGCAAGGTGATAAAAAGAAGTATGCATCCTGGACGATATAATCGGATCTTCAATTCATGGCCCATAAAAAGTTACGTGGCGAGATGAACACAGCCACAGGTTTAGCAGGGAAGTATAAGAGTTTTTATTACTGGCCGAACATGTGATATGCTAGCAGACTCTGTCTAGCTAGTCAGGTGACAATTTGTTATTGATCTAAGTGCTTGAGAGAACTGTTCTGTGCCAGTGCGCATGGGAACAAACAGTGCTTTGTTTACCTTGCATTTTTCTCTTGTCGCAGTGCGAACAAGAACAGATATATAACTTGGCATATACGTTTAATTTGTGCTTTTCGAAGCTTTTGCTGGAAGTACTAGTTACATGATGCAGGCATGGGAGGTATGTACCGTTAATATATAATTAATTGTGTTCAACTGAGTCCTAGCCTTGACATCAAGCTGTCTCGTGATATTGTTCTTATACATTCAATTTGTATAAATATGTATATGAACGTGTGTCTGCAAGGTGCGCAGTTGAGCAAACAGACAGGTCTACAAACCATACGAGCCTATCATTTTTACTCCTGTTCTTACTACGGAATCAATTTTCGTGCCGCGTGTTTCCTCAGAACCCGCTACATTTGGAGGGATACACCCTAGGAGAGGAGATTGGCCGTGGGGCTTTAGGCACCGTGTACTCAGCAAAATCGACAGAGACAGGACGGACCTTTGCAGCCAAAAAGTTACTTATTGACGACACGTCCATCAGGGAAATCGGCGTTTTAACACAGCTTAGGAAACACCCAAACATCGTGGAATACTTGGAATCAAAACTGGGAAGAGACGGGGAAACACAGGTACTTTTTGTGATCTCTGAGTTCTGCCCTCTAGGAGATATCGGCGACTATATCCTAAAACAACAAGTCGACGTCGTTACGAAGAGAAATCTCGCCGTCCAGCTGGCCGACGCCATAACATTTCTGCACAAGAACGAGATCGTTCATCGGGACATCAAACCACAGAATGTCCTTTTGACGGGGAATGAGGCGCACCTCGTTCTAAAAGTGGTGGATTTCGGACTGGCCAGAGTGCTCCCAAACCCAGGAAACGGCGCCAACAATTCCAATGGTGCCTACATGCGATCAGCCGTCGGAACGAGGTTCTATCTCTCGCCTGAAATCTACCAAAGTCTGCTGAACAACCAGCCGTGTCGCTACACCTCTTCAGTAGACATTTTTTCCATGGGTCTACTATTCTGGGCCATGTTTGACGGACTAAGTATTCCGGGCTCGTGCGGGGAAGATCGTTACTTAACACCTTTTGTAGGTTCAGAGACAGACCCAATGCCTGTAGCTCAAGCTTTAGCACAGGGGGACATTCAGCTCCAAGTAATGGAGAGAGAAGAGAACCTTCGGTGTAAGAAACTTGTGCGTGACATGCTGAGCCGAGATCCAAAGAATCGGCCAAGCGCCCAAAATGTTCTGAGTACGTTAATACGCGGGTTTGGAGATTATCGTGTAAGACAATGGTCTTCGCCCGTGGATGACGCCAGAAATTTTGACTGCTCGTCATGCTTGTGTTTGAACAGAAACCCAACGTGTGCTCTCTGTGAACGAGAGAGGACTGACGCTAGTTCTAGCTGTTCGCCCTGTACATGCAGAGAAATTTTATGTTGTATTAGTTGCATGCTTTGCTACTTGGACAAGAATCAGAACTTCTGTAAGTTCTGGAGTGGGAAAGGATTACTGTTTATGTTGTTCGGCATTCTTATCAGCCTAATCATATTGGTGGCACATATATTTGGCATACCCATTATGATCTTGATGGTTTTAGGGCTTGTAATTGGTATCATTTTCTACCCCTGTGCATGGTGCATTAAAGAACTCCGAGAGGAATATTGTATGTTCATGACCATGCACTGCTCCGTCCCAGGTCTTAGGTGGTGGCGTATCTCGCCAGCAAATGTCTATAACGACTGTCCATGTCTGTGCCTTTGCTTAAGCCCCCAGTCTGGCTGCTGCCATTATAATCATGAGGACATGCCTGAGTGCTGTAGTTCATTGGTGGAAGTAATAGTAGTACCCAACCAAGTTGAACATCAGACCAGCTAATAACGTCATCACGTGCACATTTCGCGTGTGCAGTTATCAAAATTGTTGAACTGACCGCTGTTGGTAATGCCAAATTACCACTTTAGAAGGGAAATAAAGATATCATATTCTACACAATATCATATACGTATCACACTATTAATGGGTTGATGGCAGTTTGCAAATAGAGTAATGAATCAATAAAATTATTATTGGCTTTCCTGGATAATTTGTTGTTTTTGCTTTGTTCCATAGCGCTCTTAACTACTAGTATATTTTCACATATACATGCATGCATTCACGTTTGTCCATGAACATATATAAAGAATTTATGATCAATCGTGCGACAATTAAAATTATCATAGGAAAGTCGATCGATGCGTGCCAAAAGGCCAGGGTATGCCTTTATTACTATGCGGTACTGGTTTTATAACCGTTTCCTTGGCGAGTTAGGAAAACCGGTACTGTAGTTGGCTAGGACTTGCCCATTCGGAAAAAGAAAATGAGCAAACAGGGTCGACGGAGAATAAAGCACCTACATGCATGTGCGCGGTATATAGTCCTACACCTATATCGCTACCCTAGTTAGAAATGTAGGGCAAAGCGTATGTCATGTCACTGATTGTCTGAAGAAATCATCAATCATATGCGCATGTGCGATTCTGGTTTGGACCAACCAACATTACATCGTTATTCACTTTTCCACTACTCCTTGATTTGTTATTGCTGTTGCTACTATTGACATTATAGCGGCCTCTGGGCATTCGACTTTGCTGTTGATCAAAGTACTTGAGGTTATTTTTATGGTTCCAATGTACAGTCGAACAAACTACATTTTGTTTATTTTACCTTTTTTCTGCTGACGCAGTACTATAGTTATCGAGTGTAGAACAAGACATAGTGGCCTGGCTTCCACTCAACAGAAGGTCACAGTATTATCGATTCCGCAAGTTAAAACTCCAGAATTTTGTAACAATTAGTTACATTTGTTCGCATTTTTCAGCGCCGTGACAAGTGAAAGATGTGTGCGTTTCAGGTATGCGACAACTTGGTTTTGTATCCTCTGCTATAGTTAACTAGAGTTCGTGCCTAGAAGGTGGGTTAAATTGTTTGAAATCTTATGCTTTATTTCACAATGTAACTAGAGTCTTCTTTTATTATTAGAACCCGCTACATTTGGAGGGGTACACCTTAGGAGATGAGATCGGCCGTGGGGCTTTAGGCACCGTGTACTCAGCAAAATCGACCGAGACGGGACGGACCTTTGCAGCCAAAAAGTTACTTATTGAAGACACGTCCATCAGAGAAATTGGCGTTTTAACACAGCTTAGGAAACACCCAAACATCGTGGAATACGTGGAATCAAAACTGGGAAGGGACGGAGAAGCGCAGGTACTTTTTGTGATCTCTGAGTTCTGCCCTCTTGGAGATATCGGCGACTACATCCTCAAACAACAAGTCGACGTCATTACGAAGAGAAATCTCGCCGTCCAGCTGGCCGACGCCATCACATTTCTGCACAAGAACGAGATCGTTCATCGGGACATCAAACCACAGAATGTCCTTTTGACAGGGAATGAGGCGCACCTCGTTCTAAAAGTGGTGGATTTCGGACTGGCCAGAGTGCTCCCAAACCCAGGAAACGGCGCCAACAATTCCAATGGTGCCTACATGCGATCAGCCGTCGGAACGAGGTTCTATCTCTCGCCTGAAATCTACCAAAGTCTGCTGAACAACCAGCCGTGTCGCTACACCTCTTCGGTAGACATTTTTTTCCATGGGACTACTGTTCTGGGCCATGTTTGATGGACTAAGTATTCCAGGTTCGTGCGGGGAAGATCGGTACTTGACACCCTTTATAGGTTCAGAGACAGACCCAATGCCTGTAGCCCAAGCTATAACACAGGGGGACATTGAGTTCCAAGTAATGGAGAGAGAAGAGAACTTTCGGTGTAAGAAACTTGTGCGTGACATGTTGAGCAGAGATCCAAAGGTTCGACCAAGCGCCCAAAATGTTTTGAGTACGTTGACACGCGGGTTTGGAGATTATCGGGTAAGACAATGGGCTTCGCCCGTGGACGACGGTGTTGTTGATCCAGGCTGCTTGTCGTGCTTGTGCTTGGACAATTGTCAGAGTCCGGACTTAGATACGTGCTTCCAAGGAAATGGTAACGACGTGACAACCGGCTCGTGCATGCGCACACAAATCTGCCACGGTTGCTCTTGTTGTGGAATTCCATGGGTTATCGGTTGTATGCTTTGCTACTTGGACAGGAATCGGCGCTGTGCGGAGTGCTGGGGAGGAAAAGGGATGTTCTTCATACTGTTGTCTCTTCTTATCACACTAATTCTTTTACTGATATACATTGTCACGTTTGTCATGGTATTGTCTTTTTGGGTTATATTAGCCATATATGCCATAATCAGGCTGCTGATGAAGTGTATATGTCAAATTGAATTTCCTGAACATGCGGAAACTTGTTGTGACATGTCGGCAGGTTTGGTAATGGATGGAACTACAATTCTAGATTGGTGGGGGTCTCAGTCGCCAGCTACTATCTATAATGCGTGTCCATGTTTCTGTTACTGCCTAAGTGATCAATCTGGCTTCTGTCTTTATAATCCCAACAATGGTCCAGAATACTGTAGCGTATTGAAAGAAGTAGTTATATCTAACCAAGTTGAACCTCAATCCGAAGATATTACACGCTGACCGCTAAAATGCATAGTTTCTTTTTTTGTCGGCTGGGGCACCATCTCAATCACAGATAGGTGACAAAAAGATGTACATTCCACAATAAAGTATCAACAGGTCGATCACTTTCTAAGTAACGACATTACATTCCGTCAAAATGCGAACGTTACAAACATTGTTGCAAAATTATTTGTAAGCGTTGTTGGAAGATCATAGGTATTCCTGTAGAGTCTCTGCCCTCTCTGTCTATAAGACGAGACATTGCCACACTGCGCACTATATCTTGAAGGATAGCTGACAGACGGTCCTCTGTCCGACTTCGTATGTGTTCCACCGCAAAGCTCATATTATATAACTTAGACGAAGCAAACAAGTACAATCCAGTTTCAGGAGAGCAACAAAACGTCATGAACAATCCTTTCTACCAAGAGCTCTTAATTCAAAGTTATGGCCTAATCATCTTTAGTGGTAAGGCTTTTATGCACCTTGTATATTTAATGCCCCGAATTTTAAATTGTATTACATAAATCCTGCATCATGCAATGTTCAGTGTCAGGCGTTTTAAAAGGTGCTTAAGAATTACTGTTACTTAACTCTTGAATAGCGTTGTCTGTATAAATCCGTAGCACTGTTCAATGATTAATGTACATGCAAGTTGATTTTTAAATAAAACTGAACTAAGCTGAAACATCCCCGGGGTCATGTTTCTGAACAAATCAGAAGATAGTTCAAGTTTACAAACACTGGTTTAACTAACCGATATATAATTCATGCTTTTACATTTTTTAGATAGAAGCCAATCTTGTAACTGTTTTTTTTTTTCGATACTCAATCTGCTTGATATATTCCATGAACCCAATGTATACGTACAGACAGGAAAATATATTGTTTTCGTGTCAAACCGTTTTATACGATCTGTCTTATAATTAGTTTCAGTGAAAACAAGTCGAGGTTGGGTCGTACTGCAGAAGAGAACGAACTTACAAAAGCAAGCTGAAGCCACACATCTGCTTGCAGCTTTGATAACATGGTGACGTTTAACCCGGAAGTAATACTAACAGCTGGAGAAGCAGACGACAAAAAGGTCAGCTGTGAGGAAAAGCGACTACGTATACGTGCGGCAGTATCTGAAACCGCTTTACATTTTTGTCGAAGTTCTCGTACTTTGTGACACACAATCAAAAGTAGTCCAAGGAATGGAGGAAAAACATGTCAAACTCGGCGAGACGATTTGGAATTACATGTCTATGGGACATGAACTGAAAAAGGTGAGGCCACAGGGGCTTTGTGACTTTGTCTAATACTTATCCGAGTAATCGAAGGTTGTACAGAGTTTGTGACTGGACACGTGGCATGGCGGTGCATTGTCCAAAGGTACAATTTACCGATAATCTGGACTTGGCGCTGTCCATGACTTACCTTCACATACGACCTGGACTGCATAAGGTCCTAGCCGTGGCGAGTCTGGGAGCCTTGGCCTTGTTTGGCATAATTAGCTAGACTCTGACAGGTGTGCAATTTACAGTCTTCGACTAATTCTATTCTCTTCTGTTGCTTCTTGACTAAACATTTTGCAAAGGTGAGAAATTGCGAAAATGAGCACATTACCTTTTTTCATGTAACGGATTGTCAGTGACACATATTGTCACTTCATGGAAGGAACACCCTAGCCTCTACCAGGCTTGAGGGCACGGCTGGAATTATAGTAGAAATCGGCCCGAAATAGAGAGATAACACGCCGAGGGAGTTTAGCCATCCAGTTTACAG